GTCCAGCAACATAGTCATTATGCTAACTGCTGGTCCCATATCGCAACATTTTCACAATTACTAAGACATGGAACCAACCCAAATGTCCACAGAGATGAATGGATTGAAAAAATGTGGCACATATACTTCATGGAATACTATTCCACCATTAAAAAAAAAAAAAAAAAACAAGACCCTGGAATTTATCAGAAAATGGATGAAGATGGAAGATTTGTTGCTGAGTGAAGCAAGTCAGGCTATGAAAGAGAGACATTGCATGTCTCCACTTACCATATTCTGACTGTCTGCACTCTATGGTGGAGACTGAAAGACTGAAGGATACAAAAGCACTGAAAATTGTTATGAACACTAGAGACAAAGTGGAAGTAGAGTGTGGGAGGGGAAGAGCATAGGAAAGGAAATTTGGGAAAAAAATAGAGAGGTAAGACATTTGTGGGATACAGATATGGTTTATTATTTGTTGATAAGGATGTGTATAGTAGTCTCAACTGGGCTGGACTGAGGTGTATATCATGCTGGGTAAAGTCTCTTTACAATCTAAATGATGATTGAATGTATAAATAATAATAATAAATTTACTAAATTAAATAAAAAAAGAATACCTGAAGGACACTCAGAGACCCTAACATCACCAAGCATGCCACTTAGGGTATTCTTTAAACCACTAGTATGTGAGCTGCTATGTTCCTTTAAGGATATTGTCATGCTCTGGGACACATTTAGGCCGAAACAGAGCATGAGGTAGTATAGGCAGCAGTGACTTCAGTCTGAAATTGAACTCATCTGCTGAGGTACACAGGCCCCATGAGACACGAGACAGACTCAGGAATTGCCGCTGGAAGGCTATTCTGTCCCTCTGGAAAGATAGAAGACAATAATGGAAGGACTAGGCCACACACAAAACAGACAGTCTAGCCAAGAGAAGGCAGCAGAATGTTCAAACATGGTAGGTTAGTTTTCTATTGCTGTGTAACAAGTGACCACAAGTTAACCAGCTTAAAACAACCTGCTTTTATTCTCTCACAGCTTCATGAGTCAGGAGTCTGGTGGTGGTAGGGGTGGTGGGGGTGGTGGTAGTAGTGATAGTCTGGTGGGGTGCTCCCCCCTGCAGGAGCAGTATGTGTGATCTGGACTCACTGCTTAGCTGGGTAATTGGCTCAGGGTCTCAGAGGCTGCGATCTGGCCATTAGCTAGATGGCGGTGCTTTCATCTGGAGGATCTAGTCTTTTCCCAGCTCACTGACTGATGGCAGAATTCAGTCCTTGAGGTTGTAGGACTGAGGCTCTCAGCTCCTAGAGGTCTCCTGCCATTCCCTGCCATGGACCCTCCCATCAACACAGCAGTTGCTTCTTCAAGGCCAAAGGGAGAACATCGGCATCTGCTTCTGCTGCTTTGAACCTCTCCGACTTCCATCTCTGAACTCTGGCCCTCTTTTAAAAGATTCACCAGTCAAAGGCAGGCCCATCCCTCTGTCTTACAATGTTTAATAATCACAGGTGTGATATCCCTCATCTTTACAGGTCCCATTCTTAGGGGATGGGTTATCCAGGGCATACACACCAGGGAGTGGGAACCTCGGGGCCAGACTATACACACCAGGGAGTGGGAACCTCGGGGACCAGACTAGAACTCTGCCTACCAGGCCGCCAATTGGAGATTGAGCTCAAAGAGTAGGTGCTAACCAGACCAGGCAGGTGAGCAGCATCAGCCACATTCGTCAGCAGGCAGATCCAGGCCTGGAAGAGAATGGCAGGCCCCAGGAGACAGTCAGTAAGAGCGAAAGGTCAGGCCATCCTCAGCCTAGTAAGAGCCCGGTTATTTGAACAGGGCATGGGATAGAGGTGGGCAGGAGGTAAATAGTATACTTACATCCCATAGGCAGGACTGGCACTACTTAAATCCCCATGGCTTGGGGTCTGTGTGGCCTATGGTTTGAGTGAAGGAGACAAAATACCTAGAATTAAAACCAGACTGGCCCTTCTGAGAAGGGCTGTAGAAATAAGCCACTAACCTGGGGTCAAGGTACATAGGTGAACTTTGATGGCCTTGCCTTTTCCCTTCCTTCTTGACTGTGACCTACACAGTAGGATTGATCTGAGTAAGGAAGGTTGAGGGGCGATAGCAGTTTACAGGCCTCCAGTAAGATTTGGAGGCCTTGGGTAGCATCAGAGAATTAGGAGGGAGGCACAAGAGCAATGGATGAAGCCAACTCGTCCCTATAGAGTACACTTCGGCTGATGCCCAGCCTGGAAGAACCCAGGACTGTGGCAAAGGAGAACCCTAGCCACAGAAGAAGGAAGCAGGCAAAGCCATAGGAGCCCACCCACTGTGTCTCTACCCCGGCCCCAGGTCCGTGCCTTAACTCCAAATCCCTGGGTCAGGGGCTAAGGCTGCTGTTCAAATGCTGTCTCCTCAGTGAGGCTGGAAGCCTATTTACCCCAGATGCTGACTTTCCCAGAGATGAACTGCTCAGCCAAACATTTGCTCTCCTGGAGGTCCTCATTCCCCCAGCCTGTCCCCCAGACCTCTGTGCTGCTTTTCCATGCATGCTGCCTCAGACCCTCAACGGATGCAGCTGATGCCATGTTGTCGGCTGCCACCTTTTCCCTGCTCCTCCCTCCCCCCATCAGGTTCTTGCAGTTTCCGCTCCTAATAAAAGGTTCAGGTTGAAAGGATTCCAGTGGCAGCCTGGGCCATACCCTAGGAGCCGGACTGTCCATGCACCTGTCTCAGTGGCCTTCTCTTAAACCGCGCAGGAAGGGCTCAGTCTGCATCCTGGGCACAGATCGATGGTGCTAATGGCTTTCAGTCCATTAGAGACGGAAGCGCTCTGGTCTGCACAAGTCTGCAACAAATCGTTTATTGGCCCTGCCAGGCAAGAATTCCGGGAACCTTCCTTGGTAATTCTCAGAGCACTTGGAACAGACAGAGTGGGGGGACAAATTGTTTCACTGGGCCGTCTGATAGGCAGTTCTGTCCTATGCCAGAGTTCTCATCCTTCCTAGTTGAAAGGACACAGCCCCTTGCACAGAGGTCCCCTGTGAAGTGGCTTCTTGGTTATTCCTGTAGTAGAACTGTTTGTGTCAATGGTTAGGCTTCTCCCAGAGACTACAGGCTACCCTGTAGCCTGCATTATCTACACAGAGCACTTTCAGCCAGACCATTCTGAGGTTGAGGACCTGCGGAAGTGAATGGGTAGACATAGCCTGTGCCCAGCTGCATGGGATGGGTGGTCCCAGTGTGGCTCCAGGACCTTGGTTTTTGGAAATTCTGGAAAATAAGCCTACGGTCAGCAGAGATGACTGTTTTCTCTTGGCTAATGGGCACCACTGAGAGATCATGGGTTCCTGGCCTTCTCAGTGAGCGGTTTTCATAACGAGGCGCCGGTCTCCCAGCACAGTTTCACCCAGGAACACCAGAGAGAACCCAAGAACACGTTATCCAGGCAACGAGAGCCTTTTTACCAAGTTATAGTCACTTAAGCCCATCTCTCAGCAGCTGTGATTTATGCAAATCTTCATCTTTAATGGCATGAAAACCTGAGATCTGGAAATCAAATGTGGACAATGGCTGGAATTTCCCAGGGGCAGCAGCAACTTTTGGAGACAATGACAGAATAGAATGAATGCATCCTTTTTGCCTTAGGGCGTGTGCTCTCCTTGGAGAGAGAGATGGAGACAGAGACAGAGGGAAATGAGCAATCACCCTCCTGGGGGATGACTACTCCGTAATCTCTTCTCCTTCGTTCTCTTCCTGGGATCTTGGACACACATGCATATATGCCCAGCGTGATTTTCAAGCCACTGGGTCCAGGACTCGACTCGCAGTGGGCCATGTGGGAGTCCAGCAACATAACCACTATGCCATCTGCGGGCCCCCTCTAGTTGCATCTTAAAAGCAACAGCTGGGAGCCAGCAGGTGGTGCAATGGTTAAGGCGCTGGACTCTCACATGGCTGACCACAGTTCAAGTCCTGGACCAAGAGGCTTACTTCCTCTCTCTCTCTCTCTCTCTCTCTCTCTCTCTCTCTCATCCCTCTCTGGTGAGTGCATGTGCCCTATAGCAAATTTAAAATAATAATAATAATAATAAGTAATATTAAATAAATACAGAATTTTTTTAAAAAGCAACAGCAGATTGAAGCCCTGACTCCTGATTTTGATGTGCTACCAGGTTTGAATCATGCTGGCATATGCCCCAGCTGTCAGCAATGATAACGGGGTTTGAGTGGTTTAATTGTAACCCAGTGAGGAACTAGGTGCTGAGCTAAGGCATGCCCCACCCAGACCGAAACATGGAGCTCCTTCTGTTCATGGCACTCCTATCCACAGATCTGTGGCTAAAAAGGAAACAAGCCCTTTCTCTGTTTGTTCTTTAATATCTCCAACTTTAGTGGCCTTCTCACCTCCAGAAACTTGATATTAAAGTGACATCATTAAAATTTACCATAAATAGTGCAATTTTTCCCCCCAAAATGATCTTAGTTACGAGCAGGGTTACAGAGCACCACCTCTCCCAATAATTATAGTTGACTTTCCAACCCAGGGTCTCTCACCCCTTCTATTCAAAATGCAAAGTAAAATTCTTTTTTATTTGGAGAGTTTTTTCTATAGGGCACATGCGCTCGCCAGAAAGACAGAGAGAGGCGGAAGGCAAGAAATCACCCTCCAGGAGGATGGCCGCACTGCAATCCCTTCTTCTCTATTCTCCTCTTGGGATCTTGGGCACACATGCACACACACACCCAGCATGAGTTTAAGCCACCAGGCCCAGGACTCAAAACACGGTCGACTACATAGGAGTTGAGTAACATAGCCATTATGCCAACTGCCGGTCCCCAAAGTAGAATTCTTAAGACTTTGAAATCTAGATTCAGACATACCTGGATTAATCCTAGTTCTGAAAATTACTATCAAAATTTTCATAATCTCTGTGTCCCCTATCCCTGAATCTGGGCTCCGTGACTGTTTAACCAATAGAATGCAACGGAAGTAATGGTACCTGTTTCCAGATCCGGACTCTGAGAAACGAGTCGCTTCTACTTCCTGTCCGTAGAGAGACTTCTTCTCCTTCTCAGAAGCCAGTCACCATGCTCCGAGGAAGCTGGATAGCTCATGGAGAAGCTAATGGAGAGAAGAACAAGTTGTCAGTTTCACAATCCCTGGTAAGCTCCCAGCCAATAGCCAGCACCGACGTGCCAGCCCCGAAAATGAGCTATCTTAGAAGAGGTCATCCAGTCCCAGGCTGCTATAAAGAATGCTGGAATGCAGTTTTCAGAGTGTATGTTTTGTTCTTTTGTCAACTGTATAGCCAAGTATTTCACTCTTTTTGACGCTATTATAATGTGTTGCTCATTTTGCTGTACTGAGAAGCTCCCCCTTGATAAGGGCTCCAACTTACAGTTACCTGGGAGTTTCGTACTTGTCAGGTGAAGTCCTTGCTATTTCACAACTAATCCACTGGAAATAAAACCCAGAATGAAGATCTTCATTTACTCTGGTCTATTAAAGTTCTAGGAAATTAAATTTACACTTTCGAGGGGCTTATTTTTTTATTTTGTAAAATGCTTTTGACTTTGGTTTTCAGCTCAAGTGCAATTAACAGGAAAATAAAATATGGCTCACTATGCTTTCCTCAGACCTGTTAAATAACCTTATTTTAAAGAAAAAATAAGGCAGAAGTTCTTTCCCAGCTGTTCCCCTTGGGTAGAAGTCTACCCGCCGGGCTATTTCTGCATGCCCTTTCAGCAACAAGATTTCTAGTTGCAACATATGTGAATTTCAAGTTTCTTTTCTTGGGAATAATTAGAAAAAGCATGAAATGGAGTTCAGAAATAGAAAAGAAAGATGATATAAAAGAAGAGCAGTGGGTTTCTGTCGAGAAACCTTGATAGGAATAAAGGAAACTGAGGGAAAGGACTCGTGCCTGCCTGTGCAGAGGCTCCTGCTCTGCAAGGTGGTGCTCCGGAGGAGCCCGGGTGCCCCACAGGGCTGGCCTCACTGCAGCTTCAGTCACCAAAGCCAGAAAGGAACCAAAGTGGGCTACATTGGTTTTTAATGAAAAATTTCAAATATACAAAACTGAAAATGATGCATACTTATCATAATGAACAAACATAGTGAATGTTCATGTATTCACCACCCCATACTCAACAATCATCGACTCGTCTGTAAACCTAAGTCCCCAACCCCGTATTATTTGAAAGCAAATTCCAGACACTTATTTTACCCACAAACCTTTTGTTATGTATGTATATATCCATACCAATATGCGTGTACATACATTTCTTGGAGAATGGCATTAAAGTATGACTTTTTTGTGGTGCAAAAATATTTGAAGTCCCTGGATAGTTTTTTTCATAATGCATAAACTTTTCCATAATACATAAAAATTTTCATAAACCTTTTGAAGACCCTGTTGGTGGAGAGTGTATAATCACACCTTTAAAAATTAACAATAATTTCTTTATAGAAAATTTTCCAAAAGATACAAACTTTCTGTTTATCTTATAACTTTTTTTGACTGTTTGAATCAGGACTCATATAAAGTCTATGTGTTGCAGTTGGTAGGTGTTCCTCTCAGAGTTTTAAAAACTGTTTATTCATTTATTCCATGAGAGAGAGAGAGGGAGAGAGAGAGAGAGAGCGATAGCACCCTTGACAGGGTCCTGACGATGCCATCAACCCCAAGCTTCAACCAGTCCTGGGTCATAGGTATGTGCATGCCTGGTGTACTCTGGGAGGTGCCTGGATGCAACCTGGCAAGCTTTCACATGGGTCTGCCTAACAGAGAATTACATTTTATCACTGTCCTGCCCTCCAGGCCAGTGCAGTCTTTCAATCCATGTTTCAGTGAAGATTCAGGCAAAGGAGAAAATGCACTTGAGTTATGAAAAACAAAATGAATATATCATTGTCTTATGGAAGCTGTAGAGTAAGGACATTCTTAAATACTTTTAGCAACAAAGTGAAAAATAACAGTGAGTATAAATGTTACAGTAATTGACTCAGAAGTATAAAAATATAACTCCATTTTACTAATTTTTTAACTTGGGCCCCCTTTCTATTTCATGCTGAAAACTCAATCTAGTCTCAGATACATGTGACCAAATGCAATGAGCTCAACTTTTATTGCATTCAGAACACGCCTTCTCTCCTTTCTTCCTTGGAGCTGATGCAAAGGAAGCTACTTAAACGCAGCTTGCATACATGGGGAAGAGTTTATCACAACCCCTATTTCATTTCCCCTCTACGTGAACTTTCTATTGCTGTGTAGTAAACTACCTCCCAGACTTAGCAACCTAGACCAGCATTCACCAATCAGCACACAGTTCTATACCTCACAATTTCAACACTCCATACGTGGGTTCCTACTCACAGGGCTGAAATCAAGGTGCCATCCAGTGGATTTCTCCTCTGGAGATTCTAGGGGAAAATCCACTTTGAAGTTCATTCTTGATGTTGGTAAAATGTAATTCTTTTGGTTGTGGGATCAACATCCTGGTTCCCTGGTGGCCATTAGCTGGGAGCATCTCAGTATCTGGAGGTCACCCATACCCTGGTCACACGGCCCCCTTTATCTTCCAGTTGGTAAAAGAATATCAACTCCTCCATGTGCTTCAAATTCTGACATCTTTATCTCCAGAAAACTCAGCTTTAGAGGATTCGTGTGATTAGGCCCCTCCTACCAGATACTTTCTCTACCTTCATCCTGGCTGATTTGGTAACTTAATTACATTAAATCTGCAAAATGCCATGACAGTAGTTCCTAGATGGGTGTTTAATTGAATAACAGACAAGGTGCATATATACCAGAGACCAAGAATGGGGAGGGAGGTATCCTTAGAATTCTGTCTATGACACCCTCCATGAGATATAACTGCATCCTCAACCCTCCATGCCATAGCTTCTGATGATGGATCTACTTATCCTAAACAAAATCCATCCTACCCAACTCTTCTTTCAACTTTTTTCTTAATCATACTTGCACCCTTCCTTTTGAATTTATAAGCCAAGAATATTAGCATATTCATTCTCTAGCTTTGTGGTGCCTGAACTAGCAAAAAGGATTCATATTTTACAAGTCATTCACCACAACAAAATGATTATTTGAAATATAGTATTCATTACAGATGTTCCCTGTCATACAGTGGTTCAACATAAAGATTTTTCAGCTTTATGATGGCACAAAAATGATACTCAGTAAAAACTATATTTTGAATTAATAGTTGATATGCATTTTCAACTTAAAATATATTCAACTTACAATAGGCTTATTGGAATGTAACTCCATCAAAAGTTGAGGGTCGTTTGTGTTCTAATTTAGTGTATAATGGCATCTTATCGATATTCCTATTTGTGTGTTTTTTTTTTTTTTGAGAGGTTTTTGCTATAGGGCATGTGCGCTCACCAGACAGAGAGAGACAGAAAGCAAGAAATCACCCCCCAGGGGGGGATGGCCATGCCGCAATCCCTTCTCCTCCATTCTCCTCTCAGGATCTTGGGCACGCACACACAAGCGCCCGGCGTGAGTTTCAAGCCACCGGGTCCAGGACGTGAACCGCAGTCGACTACGTGGGAGTCCAGTGACATAGCCATTACGCTAACTGCTGGTCCCTCAATATTCCTATTTGTAAGTATACTACTTTACTGGGTATTTTTAATGTCAATAAAAATCTTAATCCACCTCAAATCATTTCTGGAACACAGTGAGAAATAAAACAACAAATGTTATGCCAGAAGCCAGTAGGTGGCATGGTAGTTGGGGCACTGGACTCCTATAGGCCAACTGCGGTTCAAGTCCCGGACCTGGCAGCTTGCTTTCTCAGTTTCCCTTTCTCAGGTCAAATTTAAATAATAATAATAATAAATTAAATTAAATTAAAAGTAAAAATATTAAGCCAGATGTCATGATGCACACCCATGGTCCTGCTACTTGGGAGGCTGAGACAGGAGGCTCATGGCACAGCTTGGATCAGTCTAATCCAGCACTCACTCACTCACACACCATCAAATGTTTCCAGATTCTCATGGGTCCACTTAGCCTGTGTTAGGCTAACTTGGTTATTTCCACTATAGGGTTATTTCTGTTTTAGAGGTTTTTGTCTTGTGGTGTGTGCACTCTTCAGAGAGAGAGACAGAGATGGTGAGAAGGAAAGTGAGAAATCACCCCCTAGAGAGGATGGCCACACTGCAATCTCTTCTCCATTCTCTTCCAGGGATCTTGGGCACACACGCACATGTGTCAAGCGTGATTTTCAAGCTACCAAGTCCAGGACTCGAACTATGGTTGGCCATGTGGGAGTCCAGCAACATAACTTCTATGTCTTCTGTTGGTCCCACTATAGGGTTATTTTCTAAATGGCGAGTTGCCATGGATCTACATCAGTCAGTCACAAGCCTTGTGAAGCCTGAGGCCTCCTCCATCGTACTTAACTTTCTATCTCCAGCGCACGGTGCCTGTCATAGAGCAGGTGCTTGACCTTTGTCTGATAAAAATAAGTACATATATACTTAAGGTTACGATAGTTTTTTAATTAAAGAATAAATTTCATGGCCTTTAAATCTTAATGGATATGAAAATTAAATAAGGTAGAAAGATATGGCAGGCATCTGATGCTGTTACTGGGGAAATGAGGTTTGATAAGTAACTCAAAGCTCACCGGTTAGACGTGCTGCTGAGATAGAGTGTGAACTTTGTGCTGTGCTCACAGACAAGCTTACAAGGACACATTTTTACCTCTGAGAGCCACAAATATGTGATCTATGCCTCCAATATCCTTAGCCTGAAGGAAAAGTTCAGAATGAAGATGATAATTCCTTCTAGGGCTGACAACCAAAGAATTAGATTCTGCCAGCAACATTGGACCTGGCTTGAATTGGCTGATTTAAACCTGTCTTGGTCAGGAACAGGAAGCCTGGCTGATGCTATTAGAAGAAGCGAGTGACCTAACCCCAGATCAACATAGGCAAGAGGTGGTCATTGAAGAAAGCCTGGGGTCAATTCATTGAGTAACCGACTAATAAACCCTAAAATCCCCCTACTGAATTTGAGCAGAGTAAGAAATGCAGCTGAT